AGTTTGGGGGTAAAACTTTTTGGGATTATTGGCACGCGTTGAATTATCTATACATTGAAAGTACTGTAGTGCACTCCCGGCAGTWTTAGATCAGAAATTTTCTAAAGATTTTCCAAACCTAATAGTGACCTACTTCTGCATAAACTTTGTTCTTTTTTTGAACTTGGCAAAACAATATACCTCAAATATAGCCCAGCGCTATGTGCACTTGTATATAGGTTTTTAATGTGTTTTCATAACTTTTCTTGCGAGAGATTATGTTTCTTTAGCGGCATTATCTATGTGTCCTGGTTTCCTGTTACGATCATCATCAGGTACACTGATTGATTTATCACAAACAGCAAAATATTTTTTTAATGTGGATATTCATTCCTTTGGCAGGTTTTTCTTGATCGCATTGAACTTAAGTTTTTTAAAGGATCTCAACTTTTTGTTTTCTTTTTTCTTGGAGAAGCTTAAAACTTAAAAAATGGAAGTAGATTTTTCTTGCGGAATAGCATTTCTTGAGACTATTTACCTGAACCTAATGAGACTTATTTTTTTCTAACACAGATCAAAAGCCAATGTAGTGCCGGGTTTGGGAGAAATTCCACTAAAAACCATTACACTACCTTTCGGATTTTATCGAAAAAAAGTCACRTTTGTATCTTGAAGCTATTTCCTCAAAAAAGCCATATTAGTGTCAGATGGAATCATCGAGGAAAGCCAGTTCAGTGTCATTTGACGCGGAAACCATTCCGGTGTCTTCAGATTTGAATTGATCGACAAAAGCTCTCCAATTCATCGTCATGGAATTAATCCGAAATTTCTAAATTCCAAAGAAAAGCCATTTTATTGCAAAAATTCCGGGAAATGCGCATTCCTCGTCAAACATTTCTTCGGTTATTTTTCGAAGAAAAAAGGTATTTTACAGCAGTAGAAGCTAGCACCGACTGTCGCGGTTTCTGTAATTTGATGACGGAATGAACCCGACCGTTGGTATGTCAAGGGATGCCGTCTTCGTGTGCGTATTATCTAAGGAGCTTAGTACCACCGACTGTGGGCTGCAGCGTCGAGTAAACAGCATATCTYCTTTCATCGTAATTACTATGAAAAAGAACACCAGAACACCTCTAAAAGAAGCGGGAAAACCTGCCGGACGGAATATAATTTAGGGATGGGGGAGGAGGGGGGGATATCCTGCTAATGTTTGCTAATGGTCCATTCCTAATCATTTTGCTTGCRAATGTCAGTATTCTGACCCATTTGAGCGTTTTTACTAGGAAAGCCATTTCCGTGCTGTTTTGAAACCCTTTAAAATTTATTTCTCAAAAGCCAGTTAAGTGTTGTGGAATTTTATTCGAAAAGCCATTTAAATGTTTTCTATTCCTCTAGAAACTTTGTTGCATGCTGATCTGAATGCAAAAACATCTACCTGTAAATCCACCTGCCTAGAAAAACCATTTGAGTGTCGTCAAATTCTTCTGATACTCGGATTAAAAAAAGAAATACTATTAACATAAAAGCCATTAAGGTGTTCGCTTGTAAGGAAACCATTTGGCTGTCGTTGAATCCCGGGAAAAGCCATTTTAGTGTCAGAAAAACCCAACTGCAACGATAAAAGTAAAGGGAATGTTTAAACTAATCATTTCATAGACTCTAGACTTCAATAGTGACCGCGTAACGAATCATAATTTCATTAGGAATCAAAAGCGAACAGTTATGAAGGATGAAATCGAATTTAGCAAAATCTGATAATGTA